TAATTACACTAATATTTAAGATATTTGAATCATGGTAATTTTTTTCTATTTTTTTTTTAACTTACGGCTATCAGAAAGTCATTCTTCAGCCATCCATATACGAACCAACATATGCCGCTCATTGTTAAAGACAATGCCAACGCAAAAGACAAGCTTCCTACGTCACGCTCCTGAAAAACTTGATGCTGCACAAAAATAAAAAATAAACCAATAACTGAGTATTGTAACATAATCTTTAATTTAAGTCTTTGTACGTGAATTATACTCACAAGACTAGTCAGCGGCGCGGCAAAGGCCAAAATTGTAGTGATGTATGTAACAACACAAAACACTACAGAAATACCCATGAAGGCACCTAAAAACTTCGCAGCGGGAATCTAAGAACATTTTGTTAGAATTTAATAAAACAACAAAGTAAAAAAAAAAAAAAATGATCATTAATTTCTTAGATTGAATATTGTTGTTGCGTACCCGATCATTGTGTGGTGCATGATATATGTACAAAGACATATAAATCGACTCTATGCATACCATCGCGTTGAAGGCTATTATGGCCTTGAGTGACTCAAGGCAGTCGTATAAAGCTATAATGAGGAAGAATATAGGGCCAATGTGTACATTATAAGAGAACATATCTCTATTGACGTACAACAATGGTACACCCCGTATAAAGTGGGCCTACAAAAACATATTATAAGTATAATTTAACTAAAAAAATTTTTTAACAAAAAAAAAAAAGAGTTTAAAAAACTTATTTATTTGAAGAGAAATACTCTATAACTTTGGACTGAAGAGACTGTTGAATATTTCAAACCTGAGGGATATAAAGAGTAGGACGATAAGTAGACGTGGGATAATAAAATAAAAGTAAAAGAAAATAATGGGTCCAAAGGAAAAGAAAAAAAAAAACACTGCAGTGTTGTTTAACGTTAGGAAAACTAATATGGAGAACATATATTTACTTACATTGGATCTATATATACAAGTGCGCCGAAACTTTATTCAAATAAAACCATTCGTGAATTTAGTTAATATATATAAAGATAATGAGACTTATAAAGAGGACAATCTTTATATAAAAATGTAAAAAATTGTAACTCTTACCGAAGTAGCTGAATAAATCTCCTACGCCCGCCATATAAGAAGAAATGAAAAGCCTAGATTAGACTATAATCGAACAACCTGCAACAGTTCTCTGCTCTAAGTTGTAAGGTTAATTTGTTTTGTGATGAAGAAGAAATATTGGCAGAAAATGAACCAGCAAGTGAGTGGCATGTTCAACCATTATTTATAACAACACAAACACTATTTTTTTCCACGCGCTTCTTTATTGTCATATGATTTTATTTATGTTTTATTATTTTTAGTTTTTATTTTTTTGGTTTTTTGTACTTTATATTAATTTCATTCCTAACACTTCGTCATGATATAATTTCATTCCTAACACTTCGTCATCATGAATTATGAATACACAAACCTACATGCTTCCGTTTGGATATACATTTTTTGCCAAAAAAATTGCATATGTCCATTAATTAGGGTATTCTCATCCCAATTCATGATATATGTATGGGCATTTTTTGCCCTTTTATTTATGAATTTAAGTTTCCTAAGTAATTTGTAATTTAACTAATTGTACACAAAAAGAAAAGATGCGTTCAGATAGTGCCGTAGACAACAATTGTTTTAGCCCTATGCTACAAAATATAAAGTTGTTATTCAAAATGAGATGTCCACTAATATAATACGATTAACTTAGGAAACCTAAAGCTCGACTAGATTTTATTTTCAAATGAGTCAGGCTCAAACAAGTAATCGAGCTTGTCTATAATAAGATGAGTCAACCGTGTACATCTTGACAACTGGTGCGAAGAGTTCTTAAAATGTGTCTTATACATAAACAAATCTATATGAGAGAGAGAGAGAGAGAGAGAGAGAGTTTGAGGTTAGACTCTGGTATAATTTTCTGATGTCCCTTATTGAAAATGAACTCGTCCTTTTATAGAATAATAAGGATGAGGGTCGATACAAGATGATTAACATCGTCCATGACGTGAG